AATCAGGAGTCATCCCACATTCACACCTAATAGAAAGAAATTAGTCTAGAAGCAGCTTAAAAGATTTGGCCTTATCCGCCCTCCTCCTTTATCAATGCAGACTTTAACAGTCTCAAAAAATATCTCATTCGCATCTTGATTGGTTACCGTTCTGAAACTACGTTATATAAAAAAAAATCAAAACAATATTTTTAATATTTCTGCGTGATCAATAGTATCTTACTGGAGTTTTAAAAGTACCACGAGCTTCGATTGAAATAGGTAAGATATCATTTATCATCTCGATTGCATCTCAACAATTTCAAATTGATCAAAATCCATCAGAATTCAAGTGAACTAAATATAGAATATATAATCAACATATTCAATTACTTCTGTTGGATTATTTGATTAAAATTTCAAAAGTAAAAAAGAAACGAATTTCACTTGATAAACTTTCACACGTTCTAATTAATATGGATGTGGTACAATAAATTCAGTATCTCAACTTGCTCTTACCCAGCCAAAAGAAAATTTTTTTAATTAAAGGATTCCAACACCAATTCATTACAACACTGTGTATTTTTATTAATGAAAGACTATTTCATATACATTTTTACGCGTGACACAAAAGATTACTCAAACATATGCCGCTTTCCAACTGAAATTTTTTTGCAAAATTTTGTTATAATACATGTTATTTTTGATTCTAATTTATTGCCATTTATAAATAGAAAAGTTTCGTTGAAATTAGATAATCTATCTAAGTTTGTGACAATGAATATAGTTCTTTGATTGAACAAGCAAGAAAGGATTTGTGCTCCTATGAATAAATGACAGAATTCGAACTAATGTTAATCAAAATCATTGGGATTCGAATAATCTATGCGCAAATCAATTCGATTATTATATTTCAACGAAAATTTTCTAGTAATAAATGACAACAAATTGAAGTTACTAATAAAATTTGTTGAAAAAAAAATGATAAGTGTCATAACGAAATTTCCAGAAACAACATCAGTTAGAAAGTTGTATGTATTCGAGTCTTCAACAAAAATGATGTGACTATGCACGTATTATCGAAAAAAATGTTACAGTGTCTTGCATCACTAACTAGGAATATAATATTTTAGCTATTCTCAGTGAATTTTGTGCCGTACAAAAGTAACAAATCTGAAACCTTAAAAATCAACATTCAATTTTTATAAGAAATATAAACTTTCATAAAGTTCGCTGATAGTTCGAGAGAATTCATTTTTCTCATGTTCTTCGTGCTAACGAAAGGCCATTCCAAGTGATTGATTATTACAAGAATCAATCATCTGTTAAAGAAATTATCATATTAGAAAATAAATCTGCGTTCATGTTTCAAAACAAACCAAAATTTAACAAACATGTTTTTGTGAGAAATTTCCCATTGCATTCACAGTAGGTACATTACCGAATGAATGAGTTTACTGTAAACGTTAATGCTACTCTGAGTTATGTAAGGTCATAGATCGCCTCAATCTGATTATCTTTCGAAAAGATAAGTTCGACTCATTGCTCTTATCCAGCTTATTTCAAGGTATTCGCTTCTTGTCGAGTCATTTTTGGTGCTCAAAGAGAGTACAATCGATCCGCATGAAATTTTGACTACTGATAAAGTACCTCGAATAAGGAGACACGTGCTCGAAGAAAAAGATTTTAAACAAATGTTTCAAGGTTTTTTTTCAAGAAAATCCTAGTTTTCCATAGGACCACATTGAGCCTGCTTACGATCTCCGCCTAGTTTGTTCGAACCTCCTGAAATTTGAGTCCCGAACGCCAGCACCTTTGTTTTGGATCCAAATCATTACGTATTTCTTTCATGGAAAAAAAGAAAGTGAAGTCTTTGACACAGTTTAAAATCTCCTCTGAGGTACAGCCTAAGGTATCTCAAAGAAAACTTTCAGTCCGATCGGACAAAGTTAGACGGAGATCGTAAGCAGAACTGATTGTTCTGTGAAAAGCTAGGTTAGGTGCTGTATATGTGGTAGAAATTTCATGCAAATCGGTTGTACACTAGTCAAATCTAGAAATAATCAAGAAAGAAAGATATTGTAGTAGTGTAATGAAATTTCTTGTTTCAATTGTGATACTAATTACTGTATCTTCCGTTCTACTTGGGATATTTTTATGTAGGGCGTCAAAATATAATGATACTCAATATTCTTAAAATATTTCAAGAACAAAAGTAACTACAAACTGTTCCATACTAGTTTGTCTTAGAATTAGTCAAACTAGTCAATATTCAACGACAATTTTCAATCAAATGTAAGTTTCGAATTAGCCGCTCGATAGCGAATATGTATTTTGTCCATATACAAATGACTGACTCTTCTAGCTTATTCCATTCAAGAATGATGAGTGTTTTATTAGAAGCTTTGTAATCGGTTTATTGACTAACAATCACTCTAAATTGTATTGATTTTGGCTTATTTGAGCACACTGCATCGAATGATGATATTTATTTTTAATTTTGAGGTAATATGGCCTCAAAAGAACGAGATTTAGAAGATATTCTATCTGTCATTCACACCATTGTATAGAATGAATTATAAAAATCATTATATTGAAACTAAAAGCAATTGTTAGTATTCAATTGAGCTTTGTTGAAGTCAAAATTTATTCATTATCGATTGGCTAAATCGAAGCTAATATTGGATTGAAAAATCGTCTTCGAAAATATCTGGACAAAATCCATCGTGAAAGTTGCCTTACTGGATCAATGCGCAGTCAAACTAATATGGAAGTATTTTACTTCGTTCACAGTTTCCTTTCGAATGGTGAAAATCTTAGAGTTGTAGGTGCTTTCATTTACGAAATATTTAAAAAACAATCGAAATACATAATATTTTGACATCGACAATAGTTATTTTATTTGAAAAAATCAAGATATTTTCTAGAATTATAAATACGCCATTGGGTGCTGAATAAAATACAATTAATTTTAATATAAAAACTACATAGACCATACACAAGTTGATAAAGTCATCAATTCTTCTTCATATAAATTAATAAGAGTATAACAAACTGTACGATGATAAGTCATAACGAAAGAAGACGTTTATATACAGTAATCATCTGAATAAAGTTTAATAGATATAAAGGATATCTTTGATTTTTTTATTTATCGTTGTTCACTAATACTTTTGAGAATATTGCAAAATTGATAAAATGAAAAGACTAACGAGTTGTTTTTTTTTGTGCATCTTTTGCTCTATCAAATATATTCTAGAGACATATCTGAATTTAGAAAGCAAGCAAAAAGATGTTTTGACAAGTGAGTAACTCTTGATAACATCGCTTACGATAGAAACAAAGCTGAAATGAAACTATCGATCTGTTACTCAAGCGAGATATCATAATAAGAAATGCAAGAGATGATTACGAACTCAACCCAGTAATGAGAAGTCCTCATAGAAAAAAAATTATGCTATACAAGCATATAGAAAACAGAATACAATGTTTTTTCTTCTATGTAAGCTCATTCATGACTAGTTTTGTTCTTTTTCCGACAAAAACAAATCAATAAACAAAGTTAATGGCACAAATTATTTACATCGCACGTGACTGTACCAAGATTTCATTGCATAAAAGTATATTAAAGTTATCGAAAAAATTCAAAAATATTCGAAAAAAATCGAAACCATGAGAGAAACTGTACATTTTGAAGTGTTTCGAGTTTGGATATACTCTAGAAGTTATCAATTTTTTCTAACTTCGGTTTTACAAATCTTTAAATTCCTAGTGACTTCTTGAATTTCTATCACTTTTTGGATATCATCTGAATTTCGTAGACAATTCTTCGATTTCTTTGATTGATCAGAGTCTTCAGCAAAATATATCATATCTTGGTAAGGTAAAAGTTTAGTCGAACATAAAGCTAATGATGGTTGACTAATGATATAACTTCACTTTCACATGGAATCATCAATTGTGATGATGCTCTTTTGTGTTAAATAGAAGATCCTACACGAAAATGTTACGCATTTAGGACACTTCCTGGTTAGGACAATTGCTTCAAAATCGTTCTGAAGATAAATACATCAACAGTTTATATGGAAATATTGTATAACAGTTTGATAGAAAAAATATGCAAACGGTATTCAGCAATTATAAATTGAACAGGAAAAAAGCTTAAAAGCAACAACTATGTGATAAATTTTGACTGGTGCGGTCAATTAACATCAATAGTTACATTATATGAATTCGTTTCTTATTCAATACTATTCCTAGCTTTGATTATTAGTCTAAAAAGTCGTCTAATATTTTACATCATTTTCTCAGTTTCGAGAGCAAGTGACCGACATAGTTCTTTCGACAGTAGTATTCATCTTAAATGACGCATCTTGGATGGAAGATTGTTCTCATATGTATAAATTCTCATTTCATCGAAACATTAACATCGAACTACTTTGTTAGTATACAGTTAAATATTTAATAATAATTCTAAATACCACTGCTTAATGGAATCTAAATTAGTTTTTATATTCTGTGAATAGTTTTGTCCAAAATTTTGCAGAAAACGTTTCACGAGGAACTCTTCACTTCCGAATTGTTACTACTATTAATGAATTACATTATGTATGAAAAAGATCTTATGTAAAAAAAACCAAAAAAGAGAACATGAAGTGTTTGTTAGGCCTGATGACTGTCTAGCTGGAAACAATAGTATGACAGTGGACTACAAAACAAAATGAGTTCAATGAATATAAAGCGTCACATGGACTATTACACGTAATACAGGTAACAAAATTATCAGATGTTAACACCATATCTATGATCGTTGATATTGACCGTCTCTTGCATTTGTTACAACATTTCATAAGTGACATACGTATCTTCAATTATATTGGGCACTGTCATATTTGTCTCCAACTATCTTATATCGATGTTTAAATATAATATACCATAATGCAACAGAGTAGATCAGAAATAAAC